GTTGCTCACCTGCGTCCCAGTCACCTGCACTCCGCTCCCTCGCCGTCTATCCGTCGCCCATCGCCATCGGGTGCGCCGCTGACCCCACCATGGCCGCTGGGGCCCGTGCCGTGGCGCCTCAAGTCTTCCCCGGCCGAGCCAAGGGCACCAATGAGCATGGCCGGTGTTGGTGGTGCTCGCGCGCCGCCGCTTGCCTCCAAATATCACCTCCACGATTGAAATCAACCGGCCCTGGCCTTCCCCTCCCCTATGTTGCAAATGTATGTTTCAAGTGTTTCAGAGGTATGTTGCAATTTTTATATATGGATGTTGCAAAGGTACATCGGGATGTTGCATATTTTTGCAAGTGCTTTGAGTGGTATGTTGCAAGCGTTTTGAAAAAAAAATATTTCATAAGTTTCAGACTAATGTTGCAGCAAGTGTTTTATTTAGATGTTGCATATGTTTCACACACATGTTACTAATATTTTATCTGTGTGTTGCATATGTTTCACACACATGTTGCAAGTGTTTTATTGCATATGTTTCACACAAATATTGCAACAAAATGTTCCAAATGTTTCATCTTTGTCCGACGCATGTTGCATTCAAGTGTTTCATATCCAAGTGTTTCACGGGACACATTAAGTGATGGGCGCACGGCCCGGGCACCACGGGATGGGGCGCGTCAGAGCTGGGGACCGGCTCCTATGTCTCCGCCCACGCAGAGAGTGAGAAGGGGGTCAGGGGGGAAGGAGCGATCGCAGCGGGGGTTGTGAGAGTTAGGGGGAGGGTAGGGTCCGTGTGCAAGGCGGGTGCAGGCTACGTAGCGATCCATCCTGACACGAGGAGTGGCGGGTGCAGTGTCGAAGGCAGGGTGCACATGCAAATCGAAGTAAGACCAACGGATGAGGGCTACATTGGCGTCCGGACGTGCTAGCACTAGCCACGTCGTTTTTCCACGGCGTGACTGCATCATTGCCACCATATGCCTGCGAGGTGGATCATCCTGTACTGTCTGACACGACGTGTGGGCGCATAGATTACACGGTTGAAAGATGCAGCCAATGCAGCGGTGCACATAATTAACCCAGCTAGCTAATCAGGCTTAGCTCTGCCCTGTGTGTTTTCTTTACTCTGAATCCACACAAAGTGGAGCATGCAACTGATGAGCTGCCAGCACAGCACTGCACGGCTCTGCTAGTGCTCCGAGTAATAAAGAAAACAAAACTGCTCTCAAAATCCAGGACAGTGAGATACGCGGCAGGCCCCACGTTAGCCGATTACTTCTGCTGCTGCTGCTGCTGGTGGTGGTTAGTGCAGTCGATCAGTGGACGGAGGTAAAAATAGAATTCGCTTAGTCCTATTTGGCTTATAAGGCATGACTTATCAGCCAACGAATAATATTTTTCTCTCACGCCAAATCAGCTCAACAAGTATTTTTAGCCATAGCTTATAAGTCAAACAAGCCCAAATGAATAGGATGAATACTCGTCGCCAGTAAAGCTCATGGCACGGTTACAAGAGAGATCAGCTCAGTAATATATAGCCTTGTTCGGCTAGTATATAAGCCGTTTTTGTTGATTTGTACGGCTGATTTGTTAGGAGAAAAAATACTGTATATCTCGACATGCCTGCAGGCTGAAACGGGGTTGAGTTCTGGGAGAGAGGATCTGAGCCTGTTCATACGTGCGTGTACGGTGTACTGAGATGCAGCCAAAAGTAGAGCAAGAAACTGTTGCTCCGTATCAGGATCGGGGGGCTCTCTAGTATGTCTGCACAAGATCTACTGGATTCAGACCATCTCAGTTTATGATGGCCGGCACAGCAGAGAGATTTCTTGGATACGAACTGTTCTTCAAATTCAGCCCCACAAGGAAAAATGGAAAGTTTATTTTGAACCTTGTATGAAACCCAGAGGCACGATGGACAAAACTTAACAGATCCCGGGACGGGACGAGAAACGTTTTTGGTACCGGAGGCACCGGGAACGCTTTTCAAATTTTACTACCTGGGAGTCACTGTTCATTCCATATTTCCATGCATGCCTTTGGCACACCAAGACACGAAAAAGTTACATTCTGTCAATGAGGTGAAAATTCCTTTGGCCCTGCAAGTGCAAACAAACACAATAGAAGCCCCTTTTTTGCCCCATGCATGTATGCTGGGTAAAAGAAAAAAAGTAAAAACTAGTTTGGAGTGTAGAGGACCTAGGAAGCAGTGAAAGGTAGCATGTACATGGAGATCTGGGGACCTCTGAGACAGACAATCAGAGTTTCATTCCATGTAGGACCAAGCAGCAGGCAGCTGCAGATGAACAGCAAAGGAGAGTTCTGATGAGTAGAATGGCCACAGCCACACCCATAGGAGCAAGCAATAGCTATGTAGCCAAGAAGCATGCTCCCTGCAGAACCCAATGAAGGAGATAAAGGGGAAGGAGATGGGTGAAAAGAAGAGAATAGAGCACCGGAATAAAAAAGATGAAGAGGGAACCCAACCCAAAGGCCAAAGCCACTGGACTCTGCCCCCATTGCATTCTATTGCCTCTTGCCCCCTCGGTCCTAGGAGAACACCTGTGTAGCTCAAGATTGACCGGGTTTAAAGTGGTCAAGCAAGCTGCATGCAGGCACAGATTTAGGACCCCTTTGAAATCAATAAATTTCACGTAAGTTATACATAGATTTGACAGAAATCAGTTCATTTTCACTGAAAAAACATATGAAATTAGAAGAAAAAAAACTGCATTATAAAGGGGGGCTTATTTTTTGCTTGCTTGTTATTTGAACATTGATTCATGGCTTCACGCAAATAAAGCTTAAGGCTTGCTAATTACATCTTATACGTGTTTCAGATAGATTACAATGCCTCATTTTCAGAAATTGAAACTTTTTTTAAACTAGCTTACTATAAGGTAGTGGAAATTGTGATTTTCAGGAACTAAACCAGTTATGTAGTTATTTTTTATGAATTACACAATAGATATCCACAAGCGCGCACACACACGTGCTCTTTATTTTTCATTTTCACAGGGTGTATTAAGAGTTGAAATAGTCGAATGTTGTCATTTGTACCAACAATTACTAGAAAAATGTCTGCAATGATATCTGAAAGTTGTATCAATGGCTTCGTACATCACATATCAGTGACTAATTTATTTTACAAACATAGTTACAGCAAGTTGAACCAAATAAACTGTGGTTTTAAATTCGCAAGGGCAAGTGTAGTATTTTGGTCTATATGGTTGACAAGAAATGATACAATTTTTGACAAAAAAAATATTACACTTATTTTGATGGTGAGTTGTTGGACACGGTTTTAGTCCATTTTCCAAAAGAAGACTACGACAATTGAGATTTTCCCCAAAAATGAATGGTTGTCTTCCTATAGGCTCTCAAAGCTTAGTTTGTCATTAATGCTCTTTTAGACACTTATCTTTTGTTGCTTTTTTAGAGTTTGTCCTTAGCCTGAGGCTAGAAATTTACAAGCTTCAATGATTTGGTGCAAAACTCCTGAGGATGTCAAAATAATAAAAAAAACTATTTTCTCAAAAAATGCCTTTGATATTGATTTGGCCGCAATTGGTAATATATTAGTAGTCATTGAACACTTTTCAATGTTTTGATTGAAATCCTGATATGTTCTATGTAAGGTCTTTTTTAGCAGGGCTTTAGTAGATCATCAGTTTAATTAAAAGCCCACCAAAAGAGCACACAAGAACAGTTCTGAAGCTAAAAACAAGAAAGCCGAAGCCATTAAGGCCAGCCACCAAACGTGGCTTCTTTTTTGTTTGTTTGTTTGTTCCTCCAGTTATAGTGCTACCTGAGAGCTCGATCGCCCACCGTATGGAAGTCCCATAACATGGTCCGCTTGTACACTGATCGTCAGCCACGTCTGATGAGACGAGTAATTCCGCGAAGGTGGTCGACATGCACCGTGGAAAATAAAAAGATGTTCGGCATCGGATTCGCTAAGGAGGAGGGGACAACAGCTTTACCAGACGCGCGCGCGCCTCATCAATTGATCGATGCATGTCAACTTACGACAAATATGCCAAATACTCAAAGAGTATGCATACCCCTTTGGCCTACATACCCATCCTGCAAGTATCCCCGGCGTATGATGAGACGAGACCACTGCTGCTGCTGCTTTGCCCGTTTGTCTCTTTAACCGGTTGGGTTGGTGCATGCAATGTGGTGGACACACAACACAGACGACATGGGAGGTGAGTTGTGGAGGCAAATTGCCAATGGCATATGCATGCCTTTCCTTGCCACTCATTGCATCGCGCTTGCGCAGCCGCAGCACTCCATTGCATGGCATGGGCACTTCCACACCTGGGCTGGGGGGACGTTTGGTTGGGCAGGGCGCCACCTCCTTCCTTTTCCCCCCCAAAAAAAGCACACCCGCACTCTCGTCATTCCTTGACCGAGTAAATTATGGGATTCCTCCTCCCTCTCAACCCAACTCAATTGCCTCATGCTGCAAAGCCTCATGCTTTGTCGGCCCCGGCCCGGCCCCCTATGGCTAAGCTAACTGCTGGAGTACTAGTAGTTACTTCCTCTCTCTTCTATCTCTAGTCACCATGGTCGATAAGCCGCCTAGTTACGTGGCTGCCAGTGCCAGTGGCAGTGCTATGCTATATAGCGCCCCCGGTGTGCTCGCCTCGGGAGCGCCTTGGAAGAAGCAGCAGAGAGCAGAGATATCGTTGCGTACGTCTTTGGCCAAATCGAAACAACGATCCGCCAGCTATCACTTGAGAAAAGTGCAGAGCCGCGCGTGCGGCCGGACGGCGCCCAGCTCGATTATTTGTGGCGGCGGCAGCAGCAGCAGCAGCTCCCACTCCCAAGCAGCAGTCACATACAGGCGGAAGCGAACCGGCCAATGTATTCTTCGTCGCCTGCTTGGGAGAAGAAGCGCGTGAGCAGCCAAGAGCACAAGCCACTCTTCTGCAACTGCAGCTGCAGCAGGAGGTTTCACAAGCCGGTCATCAGCAGGCGGACGCCGCACTGATGGCGACGACGATGGCCTCGTGTTCCTCCTATTCTTCGTCCCGCGCCGCCGCTGCCCACCTCGTGCGCCTCCTGCTCGTCGCGCTTCTTCTTGCCGCCGGCTGGGCCAGGGCCACCGCGGCGAAGAACGACACGCAGAGGTTCCGGCCCGGCGACGAGCTCCGGCGGTACAGGAGGGTGCAGGCGCTGCTCAAGAGGCTCAACAAGCCGGCGCTCCGGACCATCCAGGCACGTGCGTGCACCTCTCCTCCTCTGCTCTTGCATTGGTTGCTCTCTTTTTTGTTGTTCCGTTGCCGATCGAGGTGTCTGTGTCACTGTGTGTGCATGATTTGCAATGACGACACTGATAGTGACCTTGCTTGCTCGGTTGTCGGCGTGTGTGTCTGCACTGCAGAGCCCCGACGGCGACCTCATCGACTGCGTGGCGGCGCACCTGCAGCCGGCCTTCGACCACCCAAGGCTGCGCGGGCAGAGGCCACTGGCGGACCCGCCGGCGAGGCCCAAGGGGCACCACCACAGCCGCCGCCCCAGTAATGACACCACCGCGGATGCCGGCGTCCAGCTGTGGGCGGCCTCCGGGGAAGCGTGCCCGGAGGGGTCCGTGCCCATCAGGCGGGTCACGGAGGCGGACGTGCTCCGCGCCAGCTCCGTCAGGCGGTTCGGCAGGGCGCCCGCAAGCAGGGTGCGGCGCGACTCCGTCTCCGGCGGACACGAGGTATAGGATCATGGGAATTGGGGGGCCAATAGTACTCGTAGCTGACAAGAGCTACAAGCCAGACCACAAACTAGGAGGAACGAAACGTCCAATCCCGCTTGCAGTTATTACAACAGCCTGACATCATTCAGATCGAAGCAATTGATAGGCTAGCTAACGAGTGCACCGTCGTCCCTGACGCATGCAGCACGCGGTGGGGTACGTGGCCGGCGACGAGTACTACGGCGCCAAGGCGAGCATCAACGTGTGGGCGCCGCAGGTGAGCACGGCGTCGGAGTTCAGCCTGTCGCAGATCTGGGTCATCGCGGGATCCTTCGGCAACGACCTCAACACCATCGAGGCAGGGTGGCAGGTCAGCCCGCAGCTGTACGGGGACAACGCGCCAAGGTTCTTCACCTACTGGACGGTGAGCATTTGCACTCGCTGCACGCACCTCCACTGCTCAATTGCTCATCACCTCATGCATCTAGCATCTTGATCGAGTCTTGACTGATCTGATGACCTGCAGACGGACGCGTACCAGACCACCGGGTGCTACAACCTCCTCTGCTCCGGCTTCATCCAGACCAACAGCCGCATCGCCATGGGCGCCGCCATCTCGCCCACCTCCGCCTACAACGCCGGCCAGTTCGACATCAGCCTGCTCGTCTGGAAGGTGCGTAGGCATCTCTCAATCTCTCATCTAGTATGCGGTCCCCGCCGGTCCTAGCTCGTTCAATGGCAACTCCGTCCGTGCCTCTCCCTGCACGGGGCGCAGGCGGCAGACAGCAGCACACGCCGCACATCAGTGCACTCCAGTCCTTGCTTTAGTTTGCTTCCTCCTTTCGGCTTTTCAAGTGCACGGCTTTTCACACACAGCGTGTTAGTTTTTTTACAAATGAATATGATGAGCAGCAGTGGTGGAGCTGAATTTTCCTCGTCTTTGCTTTTTCTCTGTTTCATTCACTTCAAATTAACCTGAAATCTACTGGCTCTTTCAGGACCCGAACCACGGCAACTGGTGGCTGGAGTTCGGCTCCGGCGAGCTGGTGGGGTACTGGCCGTCGCTGCTGTTCAGCCACCTGGCGTCGCACGCGAGCATGGTGCAGTTCGGCGGCGAGGTGGTGAACACGCGCGCGTCGGGGTCCCACACGGCCACGCAGATGGGCAGCGGCCACTTCGCCGGGGAAGGCTTCGGCCGGGCCTCCTACTTCCGCAACCTGGAGGTGGTGGACTGGGACAACAGCCTCGTCCCGCTCGCCGCCGGCTTCCACGTCACCGCCGACCACCCCAGCTGCTACGACATCCAGGGCGGCGTCAACGCCGTCTGGGGAAACTACTTCTACTACGGCGGGCCGGGCAGGAACGTCAGGTGCACGTAGCGGTAGCGATCCTCATCCATTCCAAGATCGTCTCGTTACTCGGTGATGATGCAGCCATGCAGGGGAGGAGGATACCAATACCTACCTTTTTGCATTTTGCTTCTCCAGACAAGAATCTAGCTAGTATCTTTATTGGTCTGGTTCTGGTCTTTTCTTTCTTTCTTGTTATTATTTTCTTTTCCTTCCTTCCCACCAAAGGTTAATTGATTTCTCAAAAGCGAGAATTCTGGATCATGTAGTTTTCTTTATTTATTTTTTTTTCCTTTCTTAGTGGTCTGAAACAAAAGGGTGAAGGGTTCAGTGCCAGTTAAACGTAGTCCAGTTCATCAGGTAGCATGATCGATCGAGTTGTAATGTAAAAGCCCCCTGAACAATGTAGCCAAGGTAGCAGTATATACATGCATTTGTTTACTCCTTTCCAGTTTACCTTGCTTGCCTCTGACTCAAAGTCTTCAGTAATCGATCATGAACAAAGAGAAAACAAAACTAGTAAGCTTGTACCGCGCTTGAACGCTAAGCAACAGAGCCTCATGCAAAGTCTTGTCGTCGTCGTTTCTAAATTCAAGCGAAAACAAATCAAGTACCTCGACCTCGAAAAGCTAGTAAAACTGTGCGCTGACATTTGAAGCTACTAGAAGCAATCAAACACCTCGGTGAAACAAAACAACCGATCGCGTCTTTAAGCGAATGTTACTGCTGCAACGAGGAACATGAAACTCATGAGACGACAGAATTAGCCGGAATGCCATGCTATATATTTCTAGCTAGAATCTAGAGCTGTACAGTAACCTGCCTGTAGGGGGCCGGGGTACACTAGTACAGTAGTTTTTTCTCCTTTAGCTTCTTTTATCTCCCAAGGCATTTGTCCCTTCCTTCACGTCCAAGTTACATCCATGCATTCTGCAGTAAAGCGGAAGCATCTAATCCACCGATCCAACCATTTTTCCCAGCCTTATTACACTCACATCTCCAGGACCTGGACCACCTCCACCGGTCGGTCGGTCTGCTCCCGTTCACTGCTACTGCTAGCTCCTCCTAGAATCTACAGCCACAGGTGAGAGTGAGAAGAAGGAACATGGCCGCCGGACACTGAAAGCTAGCAGATGGCAGCCACAGGCACCTTCAAGCCAAGAGTAGTGTTCGGCCAAGAAGAGAGAGAGCCGGCCACTGGGTCTTTCTTGGCCTTTTTCATTCCGCTGCTACCGGGCGCAGCAGTGAGCAGCTTCAGGCCTTGCAGCAACCGTTTGTCCCTTCATGTTGGGCGGTACTAGTAGCAGAGCATGTGGTCGACTGAGAGTGACACGTACTGCTGCAATTGCAGTTGCAGTTGAACTGTTGAAGCCAATAACACTTGTGCCTGTCGACGGAGGAATTTAAGCATACCATTACAGCACTGCTTTCATTAGATTACATTACATTACATGCAACATTGGCATGCATCCACACTGCTTTCTTAAAAATTAGTTCGATTACATTACATTTTTCATGCAACATTGGCATGCATCCAACCAAATTTAAGACCAGCGAATGGGACCTAACCGGTGGATAAAGAGGGCAGCAGACAGCAGGCTTCAGCTTCACTGCTGTGCTGTGTCAGGAGGTAACAACCGTGTTGTGTTGCCATAACCTCATCGTACTAGCTAAATGCATGATGAACTATTATATCTTCAAGGGAGAAAACAGGACACCTAACCTGCTACAGTTTGTCTAACACACATTCACAGTCAGAGCGAGGCTCAGAGCAGGAGTAGGGCGGACGTTCACAGTGGAACGAAAATCCACAGAGACAAAGCTATTGGTGGACATTTTGCCTTACAGTGACATGGTCAGGCAGTCAGCACATGGAGATGAACACGAGCAAATCACATGCAGCAAATTTGTTATTGCCGCCGAGAATGGACCGATTCCAATCAATATGTTAAGGTTTGCATCATTTCATTCGAGGAATTAAAATCTACTTAATAAATTAGGCTATTTAGTTTGAAATTTGATATTCCACCACTTTTCAAAGTTCACATATAAATCTATCTCAAATTCATAGGGTGGGAGATGGAAATTGATTCTATAGATTATCATTCATTGTTTCTACTTTGTAACTTATAACACGCTATTCAACTCACTCCCCTATGGTAAAATGCAATACATAAGTATCTCTCTTATATAACCAACAATAATATACTAATATAATTCATATACAACCATATTAGTTTAATTAATTTATGTTTAAATTATGATTATTAAAATAAATTCAATTCCAAGTATCAAATAGGGCCTAATGGATTCGGACCGGCTTTGGAAGCCCAGTCAAAAACAGCATGGGCCAATTGCCACCACCGGTAGAAAATCGATTGGGATGTTGTCTTCAATTGGGACTAAATGTCCTCTATAAGGCTAAACAAAATAATGCCTCCCACCCCTAATTCAGGTGGGATTCGTACATAAGACCTTATGTATTGTTTTACGCGTACCTTTTCACCCAACCTACACATCACATGTGATTTTGGATGTGATGTTTTTCTTTTTGGCCCTGTTCACTTGTCTTATGACTATACTATTTCAGCGAACGAATATTGTTTTTCTCTCACAACAAATCAGCGAACAATACTTTCAGCCATGACTTTTCAGCAAAGCGAACAGGGCCTTTGAACTAACCCATCGAATGACTTTTGGTCCGGATTAATAACACTAACCAAGACTAAAGAGTCTATATTAGTCCGGGTTGGTAACACCAATCGAGAGTATTGTAGACCCTTTAGTTCGTGTTGGTGTTACCAACCAAGACTAAAAGGTCATCCGACACCTAAGAAACTTGGCTCCAGGACTAATGTGAGCAAATTTCCAATTCTAGCCGAGACTAATGTGCTGAACAAAGATCTGTTTCTCTACTAGTGCACAACGCATACTGGCCTAGGCCGGTTCTCCAACGGTTCATCATCGACAACAGCTAGAAACCGTTCCTCCGTTCCTGTGACGACTATGTCATTTGCATCGACTAGGCCACCGTGGTGCATCCATGAACTAACGGCCAGGTTATGCACCAACGGGATGGTGCTCCACGGGCATGGACTAAAGCCACGGATATTCAGTATGATCAATAAGTTCACCACGATATGGGTCACTGAGTTGCCCTTGATTAGCCTGAGTATCGTCTATTTAAAATATTGGACACCAACATCTATTTAAATTTAAATGTAATAATAAATATATACTATATAAACAAAAAAAAAAAAAGAAAATAGTGGTCACTGTCCGGCAGTGAGTATCGTCTTGTCACTACCAGGTAAGGCCTAGACCCAATAGTTATCCTTAAACAGAACTGCCAATGACATGTTTTTGCCATGTAGATCCTAGACCCGGCAGGGACCCTTAGGGGTGTTTGGTTCAGCTAGGAGCTCCTAAATCTAGTCTTATTTAGTCACTTTTTATCCAAATATTATGATTAAATGGGACTAAAAGGGTTTTAGTCATCTCTCTAGCAATTCTGTAATGACTAAATGGGACTAAACCATTTAGGAGGGACTAAATTTAGCAGCTGCAATCCAAACATAACCTTAACCTATCACTGGTGAGTCAAAGCTCTAACTGATAGTGATATGTTCCTTTTACTGCTGGGTTCGTCACTAGCGGTGATAGGCAAGTCCCACCACTACCAATTATCCTCTCTTGGCTCTGATTGATGCTGGGTTTAGACTCGGTGGTGATCTATCCATAGATTTGAAGTAGTGTAGCAAGTTTTAGCCACTGCATTTGATACAGAACCTTTAGCACCGTGAGGGAAGTTAGCAGGAAATTAATGATGTCGTGGTCAACTCTACTAAAACAATAGAGTTAAGGTAGAGATGCAAAGGGCCTAGCTCCGCCCCTCCTTAGCACTAGAACGGAAGCCGTGTCTTGTCAATTGGAGGAGCGGGAGAAGATCAGAGTTACTCTCACCATGAGACATACAATAGCCAAAAATTTAGCTATGAGTAGAGACAGGCAACCCAAAAAGTATCAGGATATGCCAATAGTAGACATGGATGCAACTTAAGACCATATTGAAAAGTCTTTATGTACCGAAGGATGCGTTTGAGAAACGCGGGATATACTTGGGATGCTGCAAATCTATAATGAGCTAGTAAGTCCTCGATACACGTATCATCAGAAAGTGGGGCATCCACCGTCAGTGGGGTCATCTACTCCTAAGGTCTTGTTGCCTCTCCACTTCAGAACGCAAGAGACAAAACGGAGGAGAGAGAGAGAGAGAGAGAGAGAGAGAGAATCAGCAAAGGAGAAAAGGCTCAGCATCAGGCGAGGAACGCCGATGCAGGCAAAGAGAGCGTCGCGCCGAGGTAGGAAATGGTGGAGCTGAGTAGTGGAAGGAAGCATGCAGGAGCAAACCGTCATAATACCACAATGTGCCTAACAGTAGAGCGTATAGATGACAGCGCAACTTAATTACAGAGCTCCGATGATAGGTTGTACTCACCTGACAGCATGATTGTGATAAAGAGGATGTCACGAGAACAGGGGTGTACTCACCATGAACGGAGTGTTCGGATGTAGGGACTAAAGTTTAGTCCCTGTCACATCGTACGTTCGAATGCTAATTAGAAATTTGTGAAACAAATTTATTAAGTCTAATTAATCCATCATTAGCACATGTTACTGTAGCACCACAACATCCAATCATAGACTAATTAGTTTAATAGATTCATCTCGCAAATTAATCTCCATCTATGTAATTAGTTTTATAATTAATCTATGTTTAGCACTACAAATTAGTGTCTATGACATTCGATGTGACGTGGCCTGAAAATTAGTCCCGGACCCAATGCAGGTCAAAGCAGCTACTACCATCAAACGTACCTGTCAGCGAATCCCAGAGGCTGCTGTCGCTTCTAGTAGTAGGAGTAGATCACTTGCTGTTGCAGACGAATGGAGAATTCTCAAGTGCTTCAGCGTGTCTGGTAAAACAGAACAGTACATATCATAGGACCCCAGCAACGGTCAACAATCCAGCAGACAGGCACGGTGTGGCTCTGGAAAGGTGTAGCCGGCAGTGCCAAGGGGAGACAGCACTACAGCAGGAGCAACGATCGCGGTGGAAACGAAGCGCAGATCGACGCTCGCTGGTGCATCCGGGTACGGTCTTCTTGACTGCTTGCTCATACTGTCGCTGCTCTGCTTAGTCCCCAAATGGATCTGAGAACCTGACAAGCAATAATTTGATGTCCATGCGACACTGCGGCCATCGCCTCAGACTGCGCCACCTAGTCACCGGACATGGTTTCATTGAGTCGTCAGGAAACAGGCTAGAACAGGCCAAGAAGAACATTCCAATCCAATGTCATACAATTTACATTATATCTTTTAACTGAATATTTAAAATAAAGTTCCGACTCTGTGTATACACAGGGTTATGAAAAAAAAAAGAAAATCTAGTTTACTCTAAGCAGCGTAGAATTTAAGATACAAAGCTTATGCAAAGACATGAATGCAAGCAAACAAATTACATTAACTTATATTTTTTTTATAAAACCACATTTTTACTCTCTTGATTGACAACAAACTAGCTAAAGCTCAAAATTTCTAGAAAATATTTATAAAAAAATCATTTATTTTATTTAATGTTTGCTTGTCGCATCTCAAAATGGAGATTTTAGGGTGACATTACATGTAGTAAAATATTTGGAAATCGTCTCAATATATAAGCTGTGCCCAGTTTGTCCATCCAACTCCATGCAGATCTCAGAAGGGTGACTGGTTTGACCAATGATTAGTTCCTTAGCGACAGCTTCTTTTACATGGAAGACTTTAACAGTTCGATTGCCATGGAAGGGCAATCTTTTGACCTTCCAATGTTGTGCACAGTCTCACATCAGAAAAATGCAAGGTTGGAGGTTCTATCACGAAAGGTAAGCACTGCAAAGACAAACAATGGGGATGCAATGCACAGTTGTCCTTCCAATTGACAGGCTGTGAATATCCACAAGTTATTAAGTATTCCATCATATCTGATGAATAAGGATTCATGCAAGCACAGGTTTAGAATGCTAGATGCACTAAAAATTATCCATCAGAGAGAGCACTATCATTTTGTCTCACCAAATCCTCAGGTCCACAAACTTCATCAACCAAAGAAGTAATGTGATCAATAACATTGCAATCAGATTTCAAGCAGATCACTGACGAACAGCCCTTCAAATATGAGATCGAAGATTTGACACTTCTTTGCCCTCTGTCTATGTGGTCATACGCCTTTGACAGTGTCATCGATAGGCTTCTGAAACTCTCCCCTTCTAATATTTGTTTGATATTAGAGAAAGCACTGTGGTTATCTTCCGAGATACTACAAAGATGATTCTCAGTAGTAAAAGCCTCTGTAGTTGTCATTTTTTATGCAACATTACGAATTGAAGTCAGATTATAGACCAAATGGTGTGCAGCTTCTGTTGACAAGGTTGCAACCTCTGGCTGCTGAAGATGGTAAAGTTCAATTACATTGGCTAAGGCAAACCGCACTATGAAAACAAAGAAATCACAGAAGTTCATGCCTGAAAATAGTTCCAACAGGATGTTATGAGAAGGTAAACAAGGCATTTTCTTGTTGTTCATGTGATTATTCCAGATACTGGAATATTACCTGTATTAGCTGCCAAGTTCCGTTGACAAATTCCTTCGAAATCATCACATATATCTCGAATGTCTTCAATATATTCTTTTGCAATTTTGTAGTCTTCATAAAGCAAGTTCCACTAAATGAGGAGAGTATTAGCAGGAATGAAATCTTGTTATTCTACAACTTAACTCGATAAAAAAGCAAATACTCACCACCCAATGTAGGTTGTAGGCATTAAACCAATTATGATTTATAGATATAGTATCCTCCTGTAATAATTACCACAAATAGAAAAAGACATGAGTTTAGCTGCTAGTAGTACAAGGAAGACCCCAAGGACATCAAGACATAAATGAATGCACTGCCATTTGAAATATCTTTCAGATTGATCTACAATAATAATGTTAACTGATAAATAAATATTTCTAACATAATTTCACTAACTAAAGTTTAGTTGTTGGGAGTAAAATGTTCTTCATATTGATTAACCATTGCATCATTTAAATGCCAAGGGAAATGATTCAAAGTTCTTCCAAGGACATGGGTCCAGCAGCAACGACAGCATGGAAGTGAAGAAAACAAAGATGTGTTGCCTCAGTTGTTTAGAATATCATCTCGTAATCAAGAAGTCGCATCCATATCTCATAATTTGGCAATCTATCATGATTAGTTGTTTTTTCTCTTTTGGATCGTCCATATTAGTTTCTTAAAAAAACTCAACCAATATAATCTCACTAACTACAGTTTAGTTATTGGAAGTAAAATTTTATTCAAATTGATTAACCATTGCATCAGTTCAAATGCCAAGGGAAATGATTCGTTCTCCATGGATATGGGCCCAGCAGCAACCACAGCATGGAAGTGCACAATGCATAAAGATGTGTTGCCTCAGTTGTTTTGAAGATCATTTCTTAATTTAGAAGTTGCATGGATGTTCTCCTAATTTAGCAATTTATCATGACTAGTTTCTTACCCCCACTGTTCCAAATTATAGTTCACTTTAGTTTTGTTATAGTCAAACTTATCTAACTTTAACCAAGTTACTAGAAAAATGCACCAACATCTAGAATATCAAATTAGTTTCATTAAATTTTCCATGAAATGTCTTGATAGTATGTTTATTAAACTAGTAGATGTTAATATAATTTTCTAAAAACTTGGTCAAAAAGTTAGAGAAGTTTGACTTAGGACAATGCTAAAGTGAATTAATCTGGAACAGAGGGAGTAGCGGCCAAGTCGTGCTCCATCCATATAAGGATAGGATAGCATCATTTACAAGTTCATGTGCGACCAATGGGAATGAATAGTCTTCCCCTCTTGTGAAGTTTTCTCCCGCTTTAGTCGCCTTCCCTCATCTATTGTCAGCCTCTCTCTGTTTTAGTGCAGTAGTGTCTCAACCCATAAAACCCCACTGTCCTGGCCCTCTTCTGCATGATATTTACTGGTCATAGATTCAAGACATTTTCAAACCCCATGAATGGGGACAAGTACGACAAACCCTTCCATTTGTTTCGGTAGAACAAAGTGTGTAAATGATAGACAACACCCTCAAAGTAAGAGGATGATAACTCCAATACCAATGTTGGACAAAATTTGATCAAAGTAGATTACACATGCCACTTGGTCACTGTTTGGTGGAAGATATTTTAAAAATGTCCAGTAAATTAAAACATTTAGTGTATCAACCAAATCTAATCCAAAGACCATGATGGATAGTTCACATTATCCTATTCTGTCCCTATTTAATCCAATGTAGAATGCATAACACCCAACCGGTACATTATATCTCAAATAACAAATGATATTTACCAGGTTATGGACTTGGTGATACCATCCACTGGGAACAAATATGATTTCATCCTGCTCTTGAATGCATTCTAGCCATTCAGTCTACAAAAGAAACTTCATAAAATTAACTTTCAAAAAAGGACACTAAGAGAGAGGGAGGGAGGGAGGAGACCTTACTAAATTCAGGAAACTGCTTTTCAGAAACATCATCATGTAAGTCATAGACCGAGGATCTCATGTTCCTACATGGCATAATCAACAACCACTGATCATGTAACAATAGAATGTACAAAAATATATATCGAACATCATTCCACAATGTATTATGTTTCTTTTGAATAATGCAAAAGCTCTATGTAAAAGTTGCAACGATGCTTTAATGGTTACTTCCCATTTGCACCTAACAGGTTCACTTGTCATGTTCTCATTAATCCATTCTACATCAACTAATAGTACCAAACTCATTTTTACCTAACAACAATATAAAATATAAATAAGAAATACTAAGACCAAATTGTACCTATCAAATATACAGTGACTTTGTGATGGTGGTAGAAACAACCACTGTTTTCTCCCACAAACATTTGCTGACCAGCTGTATGACCTAAAAACATCAGCATGCAGAGGAGTCCAGGTTCCTACAGACCAAAGCTCAACCATAATCATGTGTGGAGTTAATTATCATGTACCATGGCAACTTGCGTGTAGAACCACAGAATTCCACAATGCTAGACATGTAAAACAGAGAGGAAAGATACATCATAAAACAGAACATACCTTTTGCCCCCATGCAAACAAACCGATAATCAGAACAGTTTATTTCATTTTTATGATTGGCAATGTCAGAATCTCTATGTATAGGGTGACTGTCAAGATACACGTTGAGCCAATCATCAACAAAGAAGGTTGGTGTGATATATGCAATATAATCAGGGTACTCCTGGAAAGTTAAGTTAAAAAAAGTAATTACAACCATGTTGCTGTTACAGCAGGAAATGGAATATCAATTGCAAAAAGAAAGAGGCGCCGTCTGCGTAATAATACTATGCTATGCAAGGATTAGTCAATCTTGTAGCTTTGTAAGCATAGGCACAAACATTGTTCATTTCAAAGTGAGGATCAACTGCATAACACAGAAGTTATGGTGAAATCCATATAATTCAGGACACCAGGATGAAAAAAGATTCAAATAAGAAAACAACTTTGTCCTTGGCACTCATATGTGGATAAAGACAATGTTGCCAATGTTGGAGCAAAACCTTGTAGCTAGCCAATTATACTTATACCAATTAATAAGTTTGAGCTATGCCAAAAAAAGAAGAAGAAATAAAATCAGTGGGCATACAACTTGCAACAGGGCCATGCTGCTTGGTCGAACTGACTCCACACCACAATTTTACTCCAACTTAGAATAATATTGAACATATATTAGTTTATATAAAGTAACAAGTTACACCATCTCTGTGTTTAGATCTTCCAGCTTCACATAAGCACAGTGTATAGAAACAAATATAACAGTGATCATGGTAAATTACTACATTATTACCATAAAATGTTTTAGCAAAAATAGGAGATGCAATAAAGTGACTCGCTGTTTGTTTCGATTTACCATAAACCTAAGAATGTAAAATTCAGGTCCCCACTAGTTTTTTTTTTTTAAAAAGAGGTAACACATTACGACTATTCTTTTTACAATATTAGCACATCTAGCACATGTTTGTCAAGTGTAGCACCCACTGAGTCAAGCGCATCAACACCAAATCACTGCACCATTTGATCTGTATAATTGATGAACCAGACTGCCAGAGGACCAAAAAATACTAGGCAATGCTATTGCTCTGCGAAATTAAGCGAGCAGGGCACTGGGAACAAACCTTAACGAAGTGCCAATCTTTCAGGTACAACAGAGAACCATCCCGATCCCCATCTCTTGAGCCACCGTGAGCAGAACCAACCCAGTGGTCTATGAACTCCTGCATGGACATCTCAAGCCGCTTCTGGTCTGTGAAATCCCTCGAGGAGCAGTCGGCAACCTGCGCAATTGATATCGTTGTTGTGCGGGTCCTCCATTCGCGTACCAAGTACGACGGGCCATCAGCACGGATGAGGAGGGGGAATACCTGAACGAGAGGGGAAGGGAAGTTTTGGGCGAAGAAGCCGAGATCAGGGCGGCGGCGGTCGTCGCCGGGCCCGGCGAGCGTCCAGTCCTTGCGGGCCCGCCAGGACGAGGTGAGCCCCGTGAGAACGACGGGGCGGTTGGGCGCCATGAAGCGGTGGACGAACTCCGCGTAGGATAGCGACTCTCCGTCCACCCGCTCCACCTGTCCTACCACCTTCACGTGGCAGGCCATCTGGTCGACCGGAGGGAAGAGAAGGGAGGGAGGGGGCCGGTGAAGGGACGCTTGCTGGTCCTCCACAGCTTCGCTGGGGCGGCGGCTGTGTAGTTGGAAGTGCGCAACCGCGGAGTCGGTCGCCGGAGATCGAGGCGACGAGCCGAGCAGGCCGCAAAGTCTGGTTCAGTTCCGCTTCCGCACGAGCCGTGAGTTGGGCCGCTGGCGTCCCCCGCGCCCGTGTGCCGCCGGAGTTTGCACGGCCCAGCAATCTCGACGGGCGCGTTTTCTGCTTTTTCCTTTTTTTTATTAAAAAAGTGTACTGGCTCGTGCACACTCAGCATCCATCGTGGCAGCGGCAATACAAGCTGCTGTCTCCAACGACAACACCTAACACCTAAAATATAAGACTCATCCAATATTTGGGTAGTGTTATAGTCAAAGGGTTCAATATCCATTCGACATCCTCTCCAACAACGGACCTCAAAAGAAAATCATTTCTGTAAATGAGTTTCCAGGAGAGAGAATACTCATATTTAGGTTGTGCCTCTCATACAACCCAAAATAGGTCTCCTATATAGATACTCTGTTGGAGGCTAATTTTTGATCTCCTACTAACTATTTTAGATTTGGATGTCCATATAGATCACCTATTGAAGACAGTCTAAGGGCTTTCCCAACGCTCCAGCATGCCTCAAATGCCACATCTGCACTAGTCTTCCACGTCACTGTGTATTGTAGCCCTATAGTGCATTAGTGTCTCTTGCACAGGATACATTGGCTTCATCTCACAGAAGGAGCAGGCAGCAGTCCGGAGGGCGTTGGGGAGCTGCAGGACGGTGGCGAAAAAAGACTTGCGTTAGTATAACAAAAGTAGCAGGCAGTAGAAGTTTACGTTGGGAACTTGGGAGTCATGGACCCTTTATGTCTACATGTATTTTTACATTTTGTTCAAGTCAACAAACTTGTTAGCCTGCTTTGGGCCTGCGCTAAGGCTAGTCTCTGTTGAAAGGAAAAGCGAAAGCGATTTGTGTAATGAAAGAATGATTTGATTGATTAGTGTGATTACATATTTATATCCCCTGAAGGGGTGAGTACATGACTCTTCGTACAGGAAACTGGCCCTTTCAGTCTATCCCCGAAAGGTTCTGAACGGTTGGTGCTAATCTTAATTAGCACATGTCTAATTACTTATAACACATGTCTAATGACATCATTAACTGCTAATTGATCACTAATGACTTTATAACACTCTCCCTTGATCAATTTACTCTTTCAATTTTCATGAGAATATCCTTACTGTGACGTGCATTAGTCCTTTTGAAATCCGTTGAGTTTTGAAGAAAATTGATCCTTGATATTTCCTTGAATATGCTGCGGGGAAAAATAGAAAACATAGAATCTTGTATTGATATTGCATTGTTAAATCTCCCATCAGAAAATTAATTAAAAACTCATGTAAGATTAGGAAATGAAATATGATGTGTGAACAGGATTAACTCAAGAAGAGACTCCCCTGAACCTTGCAAATCTCTGAAACGACGCATACCAATTCCATGAATATATTTTTGGAATATGGTTGCTAGTAAAGATTTAGTGAATAAATCAGCATAATTATCATTAAACTTGATTCGCAAAATGTTAATTTCCCCATTTTGTTGTAACTCATGAGGACAAAATAACTTACGGGCAATATGTTTTGTGATATTGCTCTTAATGCATCCTATTTCCATCTATACAATACAAGCGACATTATCTTCATAGATAATGGTAGGTGCTTCGATAGAACCTATACCACATGATTGTTGTATCTGGTTAATCATTCTGCATAGCCGCACGCATTCTCGTGATGCCAATACAAAGCCTGCTTGAGATTTGGCGTTATGGGGATATGATAAATAACCAGTATTTGCATATCCAATCATACTTGGATCTGTTTTTCTTTGAAAGAAACGTCTAAGATCTTTTGTGCCATTGAGATATCTGAGGATATTCTTAACTCCTGTCCAATGTCGCTTGGTAGGAATATCGTTGTATCTAGCTAGTAAGTTCACTGCAAAAGCGATATCTAGTCGAGTGATGTTTGCAAGATACATGAGCGTTCCAATTGCACTAAGATAAGGAACCTCAGGTCCCAATATCTCTTCTCCTTCGTCACATGGTCTGAAAGGATCTTTATTTAAGTCTGTTGACGGTCACTGACACTAATTATAAACCGTCAACATAGCCTGCATATATACTTAATTCCATCACCAAACATAGGTTTAGGGATTTAAACTAATAAATTTCACAGAGTTTTGGTGAATCTGTGTTTTTAGTAGGGTTTATTCATAAAACCGTCAAGGTGGACCTATATGTCAAAATTAATCGCGCTTATTCGCGGCATAAACAACACTAGAAGGATCTAGAAGACACCAAAAGACACCACACCACCGCGGAGGGCGAGAGGCCGCCAGATGGGATCGACCGTTTATTCAAGTCGGTTTGATCCGAAGGTCCAGAATTGACGCTACCCCCTATATATACTGCCCTGTACCCCCCTCCCTGGAGCCATCCTGAAACCCTAATTCATATCCTCCCCATCAAGATCAGAGCCAGCTATCAAGAGAATATTAGTTCTTCATAGGATTTAGTCTTATAAATAATAGTGAGATAGAGTGTGTCTCTACGGCATGTACCTTGGCGGATCCAAGTTCTATTTGAGCTTGCTTCTAAGATGTCTCTTGCAATCAACTTTGAATTCAAGTATTAATCGTAAGTGTAAGCGTGGAGATTAGACTTAGGTTAATCGTGGATGCACCCTGCATTCCGGATCGGTGGTAGCTCGCGAGGGTATTCTTATAGCCTCGTTGAATCCTCTGTAGTCCACCTCCCGTTTGTAGGCTAAGTAGGACCCGATTATGAAGGAAAGCATCCTCTGCTGGTATCTTTCCCTAGTAATGTTCCCAGTTGAATAGTAGAAAACCTAGTTTACCGAAGTCAGAATTAGAGAATCTTAGTTATTCTCTCTACGCTCCTATTTATCCTAACCTTGTTGCTACCCTTAGTTAGGTTATACCGTAGTTAGTCTCACACATTTCCCTATGGATACGATACTTGGAATACTTACAGGTGAAAGCTACAGCAGTATCCGTATGCTTGCGGATCTTTTATCTATGTGCGTTAATAAATACCAACAAGCTTTCTAGCGCCGTTGCCGGGAAAACGGTTGTTGAATTAACTACAAACCTAGCTTAACTATTTATCTTTTGTTTTCTTTGTTTTAATTTTTCCTTTAGAATGAATAACACACCTATATATCAATATGCTAAACCCACGAGCGCAAGCCTAAAGCCACCAAAATCTTCAGAGCCTATCCTAACACCTGGCTATGAGCTACGCCCGTTTTTAATAAAACAGATTCAGAAATAATCCTTCTCAGGAGAAGGCAACAAAAACCCATACTCACATCTATGGGAGTTTGCACAGACATGTGCATGCTTGCGTATCGCTGGCATGTCTGACGAGACCTTAAGATAGAAGTTGTTTTCGTTCTCTTTGATGGGAAGAGCTAAACAATGGTACAGTCGAACCACAGGAAATATACAAGGAGATTGAGAAACGTTATGCTCTAAATTTTATTTATATTTCTTTCCCATATCTAAAGTGGTTAGCCTTCGGAAAGAAGTTTTAAATTTTAGATAACTAGAAGAAGAATCTCTTGCCACATCATGGGATTGTTTTAATGACCTCATCATCACTGGCCTGGACCTTGCCATTCAAGACTCGGTACTTCTTCAACATTTTTATATGGGTCTTAGCAAGGATTCTATGCAATCCATTGATCAAGCCTCTAGAGGAGCTTTCCTTCTTTTGTCTACTAGTGAAGCAAGGTCTATACTTGATAGAATTAGTGGAAAGACTCCCTACACTAGCATTCATAATGAACTTCTCGAGAAAGAGAAGGAATCATGTCCTGAACAAGAGGAGTAAGTTTTGATAGTCAAATCACAACCACTCTAATACCAAGATTTAGCTATCAACCCCGAACCATCAATGCCCTAGAATCTAAATCCTCCAAAAGAAGAAGAAATTCAACCTTTTAAAATTTCTTTGTGAGGATGATCTTTTTGATGCCGATCTTGGGAAAAGCTTAAACTTCCAGATCCACAAGAGACCTTCGAGCGAATATAATTTAAATCCTCTCAAGAAGAGCCATTGGACATTGGGAAGAATTTAAGGATGGCATGTCCAGTGAACCCATAGAAGGAGAGCCAAGTCATTTAAAAGCAATTCCTATGTTCTCCCCTTCTATGCCCACATTAGATGTCTCATTCAAACCTATCTTTGACCTCGATGATTCCTCTTATGCTCTTTTTCCTGAGATTCATGATGATCCTAATAATCCACCAAGACATCCAAAGCATAGGAGTCATGAAGGCCACAAGGAAGACCAAGAAGAGTGACAACAATGGTTGGAGGATATTAAGAACTTATTTGTCATTGCCATTGAATGGATGGACGAGGCCTTAGATAAGATTAACCCAAGAGTCACCAATCCAAGGAAAATCTTGAAAAATAAAATGACCAATGGATGTCATAGGCATGGAATGATGGAGCCAATGTTTTCGCCTATAGACATTCATGAAGAAACAACCTTAAAGTCTAAAAGGAAGATGACATCAATGAGCATGGAAGTTATTTCATGAACACCTCATCAAATCCATGCTCACATGAGAAATCTCCTGAATCAATTAGTCTCTCCAACATTATCACACATGAGATTTTTAACCCCCTCATACTTCATGTTTATAAATATTTTGAAGAGATGGTTGTAGATGCATATGTTTATAAAAAATATTGCGAATTTCGTTGGCATGAATCTTGAGATAGGTACATTAATATTGGTGTTGGAGGGAAAACCACCTCACTAACTTAGCGCAATTCGAAGATTTCCTAAGGACGAGCTTATGTCTAAAACAAGCACTTTTAGGAGACAACATGAGCTTTCACTTTTCACTATAATGCCCTTATAAAATGAG